TTTTTTTTCTACTAAACCTCAGTAAGAAATATATGGCTGGCTGAGAATAGCTTAAAGAATAGTAACTGTGAACATATGTGAAATTTCTGTAAGAGAACATTGTTTCCATTATAATATTATTCTCTGACACTGTTTTTCTTTTTTTTTTTTCCCTCCTTCTGGAGGAGTTGATTGAAACTGGATTTTAAATATGTACTCTTTTTTTCCCTTCCTTTACAAGTAACTGGGCTGCAGGGTTGCAGTAAGTCAGCAGTGGATAATGTTGAAACATGTACGAAGGGAGAGATTGAGAACACACGATTACAAGTTTCTTTAAGTCTAATTTCATTGTACTTTTAAATATCTGGATAATTAACCAAACATTACATTCTCTCTAGACTATTTTTACAAGTACAATATGCTCCTCATGTGATTTGCATTAGGCTGTTCCAAACATCATTTAAGGGCTCAGAATGATTGCAGACCAAGAGTCAAAACTACAGTTCAGCTATGATGTGGAGGTCTTATTCTCATGGGGGAAATAAAAAATTGAGAACTGAATTCTGAGATCCTTCTGATGTCGTAGGAGAATTGGAAGTTTATTGCTTCGCTAAGCTCCAGCAAATAGAAGTATGTACAAACACACCCTAGTGTCTCTGTTCTCTTGTTGGAGGTGTGTTCAAATAGGGTCACCCTGGGAGAAATTAACCAAACAAGAGCAGTGCTAGAGTTGGCAGCTTAAAGCTCCTTTAAATATCAGAAAGGAATAATAAGGGGAGACTAAAATCCAGATGTGTCAATTGCAAAACTGGTCCTATTTGTTGTGTAAGGTATATATGTTTATCTGGCTGAGTTCCTCACTTGAAGGTCACTGCCAGACTCTGAAATAATATGTATCAGACAGTTTCTGGCTGTGCTTTTTTCTCTTTCCTCTTATAATTGCTTTGATGTTGCTTTGAGCTTTTATGAGGCCAGGTTCTGATCTGATGCTAGAAGGTTAATGTTAATTTGCAGACTTCGGGGCCTTCCTTGACCGGCTGCTGCCCACATTGCTGAGCACCGTGGGCAGGTCAGAGAAACCACAGGACAAGAGTTCTGGTTGCAGTTACTGTTGTCATAAGTATGGGCAGAACTCAGAAGAAAAGGAGCAAGAGTTCTTAGAATCAGGATCACAGCCCATTAGGCAGTCACATCTAAAGCTTCCCCCTAAACATGAGTTTCTATTCTATTTTAAAATATATACAGGAAGTGAAAACCTAGGTAAAACAGAACATAATTGATTTATTGTCTGGTTGTCTTTTGAAGTGCTGGTGGTGGTCAGAAAATTGTTCAATTGAGAAATAAATGTTTCAAGGATAAGAAGTCTGCTTTTGCAAACAAAAAAGAAATACATCTCAACAAGGAGGGTGAAAATAATTGAAATTTCATTATAATGTTTTGGTGTCTGTTTTCCATAGAATAATCCTATAATTGTCTACTGTGTGACAGCCTGAGTCGCTCAACCAGTGGAATGATTAATGAAAAAGGCAATGAAGGATTTGTCACACTGTCACAAAGCAAGGAAGTGTGTGATAGTCATTAGAAGCAGAAAAAAATGAGATAAACATCATCACCCGTGAGGTTAGCAGATGTGGACTGAATATTGAAGAATCTGGTTTTGGAAATGATTATAGTACTGCCCATCCTGCTGTCAGGTTTTTCACAAATGGTCAGCAGAGCAAGCATGGAAAGGATGAAAACAAGATTGGGTCCCAGCATGGGGGCCAGAGACCCAGGCATTCCAGGGCCACTGACTGAAATGGGATTTGATAGGAATGAGAGCGGGGGAGGGGCCATGCCTGGGTGGAATTCCAGTTAGACATGTGACTGAGACACCCAAACCCTTATTTTCATCATTGTAAAATACAGGAAAATAATGTTGACGGTAAATGGACTCAGATTACAATAGGTGAAATAGCCTGGTGTATAAGTAGATGCTCAAAAGTCAAATGCGTGTTCCTTCTTAATTTCCTGCCTGCTGATATCCTAGATGGTCACATGGGGAAGGTGCCATAAAAATGTGGATGCTTTAGACTTAATTTGTCATCATTATAGAACAACTTAAAGTCTGTGCCCTTCCATCTCAGAGGTGAAAAGAGGAGTTTTATTACCAGGCTCACGATAAGACAACTTCAATAACAATATCACTAGAACATATATTTTTAAGCGTTTGTACCAGTTTCCAGAGGGAAAAAATATTTAGAAGTCGTGCCAGATAGGTTGTTCATTTATCAAGTATGTGTTTATGTATCTCCTTTATGCCAGTCAATATACATATATTATGGGAATAATAATTCACGAAATGGCAAACCTTCTGAACATTGGAGGCAAAGTTTTCAGAATGTATTTTCAAAAGAAATTGTGAATTTTACAAGGACAAGTCTTGTGCCTGCTCATTTTTGTGTCTGTTCAAGTATCTATATAATGACTTTGACAGCAGAGTTGCTCAACATGCCACTGTTGAATAAAGAGTATTTGGTACATCTTTACCAGTAAAATGATCGCTCAAGAAAATGTGCTTTTTTTGTCATTTTACAGAAATTTTATTTGATAAATGTTCACTTATTGCCACTAATGATAATATAGCACAGTTATAAAATAAACTGAATTTCTGACATGAAAACACATCTCTATATTACCACAAGGCAGCTAAATGTACTCATGACTAAATTACTATGAATAAATTACTATGATTCAATACTTTTGCCTAAATAATTATTATTGCCGAAGAAGCCTGCATCAGTAAGAAGGCAGTGCATAGATTACTTGAATTATGTTCTTTTATCATAACTTGGAAGGAGTTGAGGTTTTTATAATTTATAATACCTGGTTGGACCAGGTATAATTCTGGCTGTACCATTTAATGTCTCAATCCTGCCTGGTGTCCTATCTTGAAAAGGGAATAGTTGTCTCCCTGTGATTATGTTATGGATTAAAGGAAAGCCCTCAGGAGCTCCCTGCCTCTGGAGAGCCTTGGAGATATTGTAAAGGACCTGTTGACACACAGGTACCCACATAAGGTTTCTGGTCTATTTTGAACATGCATGCATCACTCTTTTTCAAATACATGTAAATTCATTCATTCAACAACTGTTTATTGAACCCTGACAAAGGGACAGCATTTCACAATACGAATCACAGTGGACACAAATAAACCAAACAGACTATACCCCTGAGATTGGGGATCTTATCCTGTAGTATGGGTGGAAAAACAACAATATACAAGATAAAAAATTAAAGTTGGATGGTGATAAGGATGAAGAGGAAGGAGAGAGGGGGGATATAAATGGAAAAGAAGGGATGCTAACTTTTAGGTAGGGTGGCCAGGGAGGGCAGCTCAGAAGGCCTCTCTTAGGGAGGGAGCCTGGGGGAACAGCCTTCCAGGTGGAGGGGACAGCTGACGTGAAGGCCCCGGCTGGCATGTGGGCGGCATGTGCAAGGAACACTGTGGAACCCAGAAGGACTGGGGAACAATGAGAAAGAAGATAGGGGGAAGGTTGGGGAAGGGAGCAGATCATGCCAGCCTTTATGCCCGAGAAAAAGGCCTGTTGCTTTTTCTCTGGGTTGGAGGAAGTCATTGAAGGATCTGAGCCAAGGACTGGTGTGATCTGGTTTAGATCTTACAGGTCCACTGTCTAAAAATAGATCGAAGGGGACCATTGAGGAGGTTGGTGCAGTAATCCAGGCAGGAGATGATATGATGGTAACCAGGAGCAAGGTGAGGAGTGGGGGTGTGAGGAGACATGGACTCCAGACACATTTTGATAGAATAGGTAAGGTTGACAAGCTTGGCTGATGGATTTCTGGTGGGGTGTACACCAAGAAAAGATATGAAGAATGCCTGAAGACTTTTGGTCTGAGCACTTGGAAGAAAGGGAAGGTTTGGGGACTTGGGCTTCATTTTGAACATAGCAAGTTTAATAACAAGTGGAGATGTTAAGAAGGCCACTTTGGCTGTGCACAGTGGCACAAACCTGTAATCAGGCTCAGGAGGCTGAGGCAGGAGGATCATGAGTTCAAAACCAGCCTGAGCGACTTAGAGAGGCCCTAAGCAACTTAGTGAGATCCTGTCTCAAAATAAGAATAAAAAAGGGCTGGGGATGTGGCTCAGTGGTTAAGCACCCCTAGGTTCAATCCCTGGTACTGCCCCCCCCCCCCCAAGGAATGTAACTCTCAATGGAAAATACACAGGAACTATTTTTAAAATATTACTGAGTCAACATAGCACTTTTCCAGCACACTCTGAAAGAAGAACTATTATGTTTGTTAGGTGAAAGGATGTCTACAAGATATTTTGACTTTGGAAAAAGACCCTGTGCTGGAAAAGGTTGGAAATAAAGATATATTTAAGTGAAAATTTTAGTGGCCAATAGGCATTATTTTCCTTTCCCCCTTCTTCTATTCCTTTAATGCACGTTGATTTCAAAATCTGTATCATTATACAGACTTTTAAGTCTTAAGTTTCAATGCGAGACTTTTTTTTCCCTTTTAATTAAGGCTTTGAATAGAACTTTCTGGTAAGAAAAGCCTGACTGATGGCAGAATCATGTTCACTGGTCCACATTATTTTATTTCGTAAGGAAATTAGAATGTTCCCTTATTACATGTTTGTTGTTAATTTTTGTATGTATGCACCTGTCCCTGACTGGCATGTCACTTGGGTGCTATTTGGTAATGACCAAAAAAGTGAGGGAGGGAGGGGAGAGAGAGAGAGAGAAAGAGAGGTGAGGAGGGAGGGAGGGAGGGAGGGGGGGACAGAGAGAGAGAAGCAAAGAAGGAAGGAAGGAAAGAGTGAAAGAAAGAAAATATGTGCATGCAAATACACTCCTTTCTATTGGGGGGTTTCAATGTGAGGTTAAGAAATCCATGGTAAACCTTATACGGAATTAATCGAAGCTTCATTGTTACTTCATAAGCATAAGCATGTGTACCTGTACTAGCCCCGATTTGTGACTGTTCCCTTCAATATCTGTCCTCCTCAGTCTTACGCAGGGAAGTATGTACCCGCGCTTGCGCACTACATCCACGCCCTCAACCCCAAGGAGCAGGTCAAGATCCACCTGAAAGGAATTGCTCTTGGAAATGCATATTCTGACCCTGAATCGGTAAGTGTGATGATGTTTGTTTCCCTTTTGTAACTTAATGAGATCAGATCTCTTCTTAATCAGAGGCCCAGGTACATGAGCTCCTTATACCTTAAAGGCTTAACTTGATAAAGGGCAATACCAATGGACCTTTTGACTGAACTCTTCCATTTTTTTTTTTTTTTACCATGTTTCAGTCAATTTGCTCTGCCAGCCTACACCAGCTGTGTTGTACTATGTGTGTTGTGCTGTGTGTTTGTTATGTGTGTTGTGTATTTTGTGTGTTTGTGTTGGGTGGGTTTTGTGTATTTGTGGAGTATGTGTTGTGTATGTTGTGTGTTTGTGTTGGGTGGGTTGCATGTGTGCACGTGTGTATTTTGTAGGTGTGTGTGTGTGTGTGTGTGTGTGTGTACAGTTGTCCTATCTGGCTATTTCTAGCACCAGACTGAAAATTATGAAGTGTGACTTCACAAAGCAAATGGGCTTCCTGCCTTCTCTCCTTCTCAGTGTCTGGCACTTATGTGTGTCTCTTTTGTCCTCAGATTATAAAGGGCTACGCGCCATTCCTCTACGAAATTGGCTTGTTGGATGAGAGGCAGAGAAAGTACTTCCAGAAGCAGTGCAATAAGTGTATAAAATACATCAAGGAGGAGAACTGGCTACGGGCCTTTGAAGTGAGTTCTGGGGCCCTGTGCTGCCCTCAAGCAATTAAAACCATCTGAGGAGAGGAGGGGTCAGTGAAGCCCCATGGTGCTCAGACATTTTTTATGAGAGAAGGAATATCTGCTTGGAGAGATGAGTGGGCACACCGTGCAGAAACGAACTGTCTGTGTTTCTTTGAATTTACTTTGGCTGTATTAAGCCTGAGGTCATCTTGGAGTGTTTGTCTAGCTGTGTGTTCATTAACTGTTCTGATTTCTTTAAATGCTGTGTGGGTCTTAAAGGCCTCTCCTATCATATGGAAATCAGAAGAAAGGCAACCTCGGAAGTAAATGCATAAACTTCAACATGTGCGCAAAACCATTTAGAAGGCTTATGTCTACAGACAGGGTTTCAGCTGGAGAAGTGACCACAGTGCTTGACAAATAGCACATGTTCCCATGTGTCGGGAACAAGAGATTGTGAAGTGTAGGGATCTAAGACTGTTGCAAAGAGCCATTGGTATTTGTAGTTATGATGATGTTGCTCCTCTAAAAGTAAACTTGAGAATCTGATAATATGCTTATATTCTTCAGCCTTTTCTTGGTATTTAAAACATAAGAGTACACTAAATTACAATATGGGAAGTTGGGTGTTTGGGGCAATTGCAGACAAAGGCTGTGTGTAAACAATTCTCCTGGGGCTTTTGGTCATGTTTCCTATAGAGTCATCCTGATTGACATATTGGTTTGATGAGGCAAGGACTGAATTTTTGAGGACTTTAGGATTCATTATGGTTATTAAGGCAGAAGCCTGATATTAACAATCTACTGGATACTCCAGATCAGCTTGTTCAGATCAAAATGGGAGACATTCAAACTTTAGGACACTACCTGAAGTCACCCAAGGCAGTGACCACTCTTGCTATGTGAATTCTGATGGCGGCAACCTGTGCAAACCGATTGAGATAGAGAAGTCCTAGCCATCCAGTGCCATGCTTGAGGACTCCCTCTTCTGTGACCAGATGTGGCTGCAAAGTGTGGATTCAGAATTTTTTGTATCTTAGGAAGGACTGCGAAGGAAGAGGGATTCTCTCAGAGATGTGTAGGATCACGCCCCAACCCACCGTGACAATATTTTCAAGATTGGTTTTAGGCCCTCCACTGTTGGTAGTTGAACAGGACAAAAAGGAACCTTTAGAATTTAGAATTAATACTAATTTTATGTGGCATAAGACCAATTTTCCCGTGAGACATTTAGTGTGATTTGAAAGCACACAGCAGTGTCAAGAGCAAGAACATTTGAGAGGCCCAAAGGTGTGAAGAAAGCAGGGAGATGACTGAGGCCCAACAGCCTCAGACACCCAGAGGGCTAGAGAACCTGAGGGAAGTTCAGGTATGCTCTGTATTCAGAGACAAGGATCATGCGACTCTCTTATTAGGACTCATGGTGACCATGGTGTTTGTATAGATGATCCTTTTAATACTCTATCCCTCAGTCCCTTGGCCTCCTCTTTTGCAACAATCACATTCTACTCAGCTGCTCATTCCTTGTTACCAAAAGCCATCAGGCATTCTACAATCTCAATTAAAAATTTTTTATTTGCTCTCTTTAGATGTACATGATAGTAGAGTGTATTTTGAATATTATACATACATGGAATATAACTTCCCATTCTTGTGGTTGAACATGATGTGGAGTTTCACTGGTCGTGTATTCATACATGAATATAGGAAAGTTACCTACGATTTATTCTACTGTCTTTCCTATTCACACCATCCCCTCCATTCTCTTCATTCCCTTTTGTCTAATACAATGAACTTCCATTCTCTCCCCCCTCCCCTTATTGTGTTTTAGCATCTGCATATCAGAGAGAACATTTAGCCTTTGGATTTTTTGGGATTGTCTTATTTCACTTAGCATTATATTCTCCAGCTCCATCCATTTACCAGCAAATGCCATAATTTCATTCTTCTTTAAGGTTGAATAATATTCCATTGTGTGTATATAATCACATTTTCTTTATCCATTCATCTGTTGAAGGGCACCTATGTTGGTTTCATAGCTTTGCTATTGTAAATTGAGCTGCTATAAACATTGATATGGCTGTGTCACTATAGTATGCTGATTTGAAGTCCTTTGGGTATATGCTGAGGAGTGGGATAGCTGGGTCAAATGGTGGTTCCATTCCAAGTTTCCTGAGCAATCTCCGTACTGCTTTCCAGAGTGGTTGCACCAATTTGCAGTCCCACCAGCAACATATGAATGTGCCTTTTTCCCCCTCGTCCTTGCCAACATTTATTGTTACTTGGATCTTCGATAATTGCCATTCTGACTGGAGTGAGATGAAATCTTAGTATATTTTAATTTGCATTTCCCTAATAGTTAGAGAGGTTGAACATATTTCATATATTTGTTGACCATTCGTATTTCATCTTCTGTGAAGTGCCTGCCTGTTCAGTTCCTTTGCCCATTTGCTGATTGGGTTGTTTGGTTTTTTTTGTTTTTGTTGTTAAGTTTTTTGAGTTCTTACAATCTCAAATTTAAACAGCTTTCTCCAACTGCGACCTCCCACCCTTCCAGCTCACTTGTGTTGACATGCCAGTGCTAGGAGTCCTGCAGCCCCATGGTCTCTAAACCCACTGACCCAACTAGCTCTTCATGATCTAACTAACCCTCTCTGGTCCTCATTTCTCTAATTACCAAACTTAATACCAAGGTCTAGACCTTCCAGACTCCTGAACCCCTTTATCACTTTCTCCTGCTCCTCTGGCTAAACCACAGCCTTGACTGAATCCACCTCCCTGCACCCCACGCCTGTTCCAGGCAGCTGCACCTGGCTGGAGAAAAGCACCCAGCTGTGCTGACTGCTCTTGCCCTCCTCTGACGTCCAAGTTGTTAATGTCAGCCATCCAAAGGTAACTTCTACCAGTTCTAGGCACCTGCATGTATGCCCACATCCTCTGTCCTCTCTCCTAGTACTGTGGCGAGTGGTCCACGATCCATCTTAAGGCATCCCTTCCCACAAGGTTCATTCCTACAGTTGAGGCCTCTGAACTTGCTCCTTTCTCTGTCTAGAATGTTTTTTCCCCAAATTGTATGGCTTTCTTCCTTCCAATAGATCTTAAATCAAGTGCCATCTTCTAAGAGATGCCCTCTCTTTAGGGTCCCCTACGGACGTGTGCACAAACCCATGACACCTCTCCTTGTCATTCCCTAACATATAGTTTGCACACTCTAACATACTGCATATTTCACCTAACAATGCTAGAGATTTTGTTTTCCCCTTGAATATCAGCTTGGTCTGTCTTGTTCACTGAAGTTTTTCCAGTGCCTAGGACAGCGTTTTGCACAGAGAAGATGTGTAGTAAATGCTCAAGGAACAAAACAGTAAAGGAAATGAGAAGCTGAATGACAAATACCTGTGTGTGTTCACCCACCCAAACGTTTCCTTCTCTCTTCCCTCCCTCTCAACCCAGATACTGGATAGACTACTGGATGGCGACTTGACAAGTGATATTTCTTACTTCGAGAATGTGACGGGGTGTTCTAACTACTACAACATTTTACAGTGCACGGTAATAACATTTTTCAAACCGTAGTCACGTCTGCTTAAAACTTTTGACAAAACCAAACCTCCTCTGATTTGGAAAATAGGGTAGCTGGCTTTCTACTAGACAAAGATATCCAAAGTGGAGTGCCTGAGTTGGTCTCCTAAACTGATTGCAGTCTGTTTCCCACCAATGTTGTATGTGTTATAATCTGACCATCCACAATGTGTGATATCCCATATCACACAGAACAATTCCTGATGGGGCGGTTTCCCCTCCAGAGCTTGTTTTGCAGAAGAGCTTGTGGAAAGGGTGGAAGCTGGGATTGCAGCTCTGGGTATGAGGTCTCAGAGTTTCAAGCCTGTTTATGAACCTCTTGAAAATGCCCACATTCTTTGTTCTGTACTTAAGATGGCTTGGATAATCAAAGCTACCAAAGCCTGTATGAAAATATTTGCTTTGTCTTCGTTTTAACTTGAGGTGTTTAGTGCATTCAGTTCAGCCCTACTTCAAGTCCTGTAGAATATTTCTTAAAGTACCAAAGTAGTTTCTTTCCTAAAAGTAGGCCAGAGTCATGTCTTTTGTGTAGAATTAGCCAACTAAGAGAAAGGGAGCCAAATGGGGGTTGGGATTTGTATAATCTTTGTCTGACAATGTGTTCTGTTTTTAAAATGATCACATTTTGTGAACTATTAATTATAAAGTCAATTTCAGTGGAATTTGTCTATCCAATGGTTTTGGGTTTAGATTGTACCACGAATAAAACATATGGCGGGGAAGAGAGAAACAATATTTGTGATTTGCATTTTTCTCTACAACATAATATATTCACTGTTAACAAAAATTGCTAACAAAGCAGAAAATTGGCACACTCAAACCCCCAAATTTTTATCCTTTTGTAACTTGAAGTATTTTTAAAGCCCTTATTCTTTTTTTTTCTTTTCAGTATAATTATTATTACAGAGGCTTTTATGCAGTGTTGTGTTGGAATTTTTTAAAAATAAGACTCATGAACTACTTTCTTTCATCTTCCTCATAAAATATCTGTTTTTACACCTGATGTATTTCCCCCTGTACTCAGCTGGTATTGTTTGTGTGGCTTTAATAAACAGCAGACCATAGAAAAGAAATCCTTAGCTTTTAATCTACCACCCCTCTGGCCTCCAAGAGCTACTTCACCTTCTTTCTATGGAGCCACCAACAAGGAGCAGTTGATATGGACCATCTCACCCCTTCCCTTTGCCCTCCCTATCTCTTCCTCTAAGTGGAGTCACAGGTTGCAAAAGATTAGTTTCTTAAAAGGAAAATCTCACACTTGCAAATTGGATATTGGCTCCAAGAGTGTCAGATCATCCTGATTTATCCTTAGTAAGAGGATTTAATTTAAACCACCTCACAAACTTCTTTTTAAAAATTTCCAGAGTGGGGCCACATTAAAAGTCCTGTCCTCTCTTACTTATTGTGTTCTGTGCTATGAGAAGCCCACAGCTTTTCCTGGCATGCTGTTTCCTAATATCTTTCTGATGTACCCTCTGCCAGGAACCTGGGGACCAAACTTACTATGGGAAGTTTCTGTCACTCTCAGAAGTGAGACGAGCCATCCACGTGGGAAACCAGACCTTCAGTGATGGAGCCGATGTTGAAAAGTACTTGCGACAGGACACGATGAAGTCGGTCAAGACCTGGCTCACGGAGATCATGAATAACAACTACAAGGTAAGAAGGTGACTGCAGTTACTGTCTCTTAAGAACTTTTCAGGTTTCCCAGAGCAGAGCTGACTCTATTATTTGTAACTTGCCTCTGTCTTTAAACAACAACAACAATTTATACTGTTTGCAAACATAAATAATCTCTGGTTTGTTGGATTTCTTTATATTAAAAGATTTCTTTCCTTTTAATTAACCCACGCCTCCAATCATTCCTTAAAATGAAATTCCCTATGACACTTGCCAGCTCTCACTCTTTCTTGGGAAGAGACTCTCAGAGCAGAAAAAAATGACTGGCTTTGTGTACCTGAGCCAATTCCTTCCGTGTTTGCCGTATCATATGAATCTCAGTGAAGTCAGGGATACGGGACAGTAACTAGTTATTCCAAAAATGCATTTTTCCTAATAATCGTGTGCATTCACTTTGCTCAGTAGTAGCTGTTTCAGTATCTGCTTTAACCAGATGCTCTGCCCGGCTGTCAGGCAGAAATAGCGGAAGAGAAAGGTCCTTTTCTGAGGCCCGATGAGTCCGGCTCTGTTTCCACCTGGAGACGATCTGCCTGCTCAGCTGCTAGAGACAGGAGAAGAGATGAACTCACAGGAAGCGGCCCTGCGGGTTCAGGCAGAGGGGGCATGGGCCCTTGGTGTCCTCCCAGGGAGGAGGAGAAGTTATCTTGTCCCCATCCCCTGTCTCCCCTTCTGCTCTGATCCCCCAGGACGGCTGTTGTTTGTCATGGGGATGGTCTATGGGGCCAGTGTACTAATGATAGAACAGACAACCAGCGGGGCTTCCTTTTTTAATATGGCAGAGACAAGGCTAATGAACTTGGGATAAACAAAAACCAGAGCAGCCAGTAGCTTGTAAGATACCTCTGAATCAGGAAAAGAAAATTCATCCTCAAGACACTTTATTTCCAACTACCTGACTCTTTTTTACCATTTGCCGGTATGAGGAATATACATTTCTATGATGCCTGTAAGGAACAGTATGCCTCAGGATGGTTCAGTGCACAAGCTGTGCTACTGTTCAGGGCATCACTTCAAATGCATCCTTAGTATAGTGTGTTTCAGATCATGGCAACCCTGGAAAGTCCACTTTTCTGATCCTGCCTCCATACAGAGTTTGACATGGAACCCTTGTTTAAAATAATCTATGGTCAGTGGCACACAGAGACTGCACACCCATTATAATCCCACAGAACTTGATGGAATACTTTCTAGGAAAGAAAGTAAGTATCTAACTGGATCAAGCCAGCATTGCATCCATTCTTGGGTTTGGTTCTGCTGGGGAAATGCAGTGGCCCTTTGTGCTTACCTGCTTCCAGCCTTCTCTGAACAACTCCCCAAAGCACTGCTGCCTCTCTTCTTCTCTGAGGTCTCCTCCACGGTCCTGCCATTATGGGCTCTCAGCCTGACATCCATCCTGGCACCAGCTAGGAGCCAATGTCCATGACCGGGGAATGAGTGAAAGAAAAGTTAGTGCTACACTAAAGAATATATCTAACAGAGTGTCCGTAATCCATGAGGTATTTATGGTTCACAAATTTATTTAACCAAAAAGAGCTTAGCACTTGTGTTTTAAGACAAAAAATATCTAATATAACATTGAGAAATGCCATGTGGTTTTGTTGAGTGAAAAAATTTTCCCATGTACATTATTTGTGCCCTTGGCTCACTGTATAAATTTAACTAGAATATGAGGATAAGTGTGGTATAGAGCTCAGCTGATGTCAGAAATTCTCTTAATGTCGACTAATTGCTACAGACTGTTCGCCATTTGATAAAATAGAACATACTGATTAGAGATGATCCTATACCTCTGTCCTTGTTGCCCATGTAACCCAAACCCACTATCCTAGTCTATTCAGGCTGCTCTAACAAAAATACCCTAGACTTGGTCACTTATAAACAATAAGAATCTTATCATTCACAGTTCAAGAAACTGGGAATTCCAAGACAGGTGCCCACAGATGTAGCATCTGGTAAGGGCTGTGCTCTGCTTCATAGAAGGTGCCATCTTGCTGCATCTTTACCAGCTTTTAGAAGGGCAGACAGGCTTCGTTCTGGTTTGTTTTATAAGACTATTAATTCCATTCCTGAGGGTTCCACCCCCAGATTTAATTACCCCAAAGTCTCCGCATCATTTTGGTTGAACACATTCAGACCATAACACCTACCATCAGGAATTCCACTGAAACCAGAGTATTTTCTACCCTTTTCAATTCTGAATTCATTTCCAGAAAAAGAGAAAAGTTTAGTGATGCAGATAAACCACACTTCCATAAAGGAAGAGACAAACTATGCAGTCGATCTGCATGCAGACCCCAAGTGGCTGCTACAGAACAGGCAGCGTGTTCACTGGGGCAGCTGGCACAGCCCTGCGGGCAGAAATTATCTTTGGCTTGTCTGCTATTGATGGTGAACCTCAAAGTGTGTATAATGGAACTAGAACAACTTAAGTTGGCTTAAGACATTAGTACCCTTAAAGTTCTATTTATGTAAGACTCAGTTCTAATTTGTCATCCAGAGCAGTGCGCCTGTTTCTGTTCTCAGGAACATAGAAGTCTTTCCAGCACTAGAATCATTTTAGCCAATATATAGTATCTCTGACAAGACCAGGAATGTCCTCCTGTGCATCTGGTGCATTTTTGTGTAGTTTCTGTGTAAACTGCATGAAAACAAAATTCTCTTCTTCTAATGATATACAAGAGGTTCACAGTCCAAATCATTTTCTTTTTGGTAATTTCAGATGTTTAGGTGGCAAATGGAAATATTGTATCGGCAAGTTTCCAAAATACCTAAAATGAGAAACAATGTGTTAGACTACCCCAATTCTTTTTGTAAAAAAAATTTTTTAGTTGTAGATGGACACAATACCTTTATTTTTATTTCTTTATTTTTATGTGGTGCTGAGAATTGAACCCTGTGCCTCACATGTGCTAGGCACATGCTTCACTACTGAGCTACAACCCCAGCCCTGACTATCTGAATTTTTTTTTTTATTACATCAGGTCAAAATATTATCAGGACTTTTAAGAGCTGATCTGTACAAGAACATAGTGGTTGACAGCATGCTCTCGAGTCATACATTTTGAGTTTGAGGGCTGGTTCTATCACTCAGCTACTGTGTTCCTTTGGGGGAAGATGCTTGATTCTTTGTGATTTAGCTAAAAATGGGAATAGAAATAATATTTATGCATGAGTGTTTGTGACATCATTGAGATTATTCCTGTAAAATACTTTTAAAAAGTGCCTGGTGCTTAGGAAGTATTTATCAGTAACATCTATTATACAAGAGACCCTGCATCTAATAGAAGAAAAAGTAGGCCCAAATCCTCATCATGTCAGATTAGGCCCCAGCTTCCTTAACAAGACTCCTATAGCACAGGAAATAAAATCAAGAATCAATAAATGGGATGGATTCAAACTGTAAAGCTTCTTCTCAGCAAAATAAACAATCAGTAAGGTGAATAGAGAGCCTAAAGAATGGGAACAAATTTTTACCACACACACACATCAGATAGAGCATTAATTTCCAGGATATATTAAAAAACTAAAAAAATTTAACACCAAAACCACAAATAACCCAATCAATAAATGGACTAAGGAACTGAACAGTCACTTCTCAGAAGAAGATATACAATTGATCAACAAATATATAAAAAATTGTTCAACATCTCTAGCAATTAGAGAAATGCCAATCAAAACTACTCCAAGATTTCATCTCACTTCAGTTAGAATGGCTGCTATTAAGAATACAAACAACAATAAGTATTGGCAAGGATATGGGGGGAAAGGTACACTTATAAATTGCTGGTGGGACTGCAAATTGGTGCAATCAATCTGGAAAACAGTATGGAGATCCCTCAGAAAAGTTGGAATGGAACCACCATTTGACCCAGCTATCCCACTCCTCAGTCTATACCCAAAGGACTTAAAACAGCATACTACAGTGAAGCAGCCACATTAATGTTTATAGCATCATAATTCACAATAGCTAAATTGTGGAACTAACCTAGATATTCTTTAATAGATGAATGGGTAAATAAACTGTGGTATGTATGTAACAGGAACTTACCTCAACATTGTAAAAGCTATCTATGCTAAGCCTCAGGCTAGCATCATTCTAAATGGAGAAAAATTGAAGGCATTCCCTCTAAAATCTGGAACAAGACAGGGATGCTCTCTCTCACCACTTCTATTCAACATAGTTCTCGAAACACGGGCCAGAGCAATTAGACAGACGAAAGAAATTAAAGGCATAAAGATAGGAAAAGAAGAACTTAAATTGGCACTATTTTCGGGTGACATGATCCTATACCTAGCAGACCCAAAAGGTTCTACAAAGAAACTACTTGAGCTAGTAAATGAATTTAGCAAAGTGGCAGGATATAAAATCAACACACATAAATCAAAGGCATTCCTGTATATCAGCAACAAATCTTCTGAAATGGAAATGAGGACAACCACCCCATTCACAATATCCTCAAAAAATAAAAAATACTTGGGAATCAACCTAACAAAAGAGGTGAAAGATTTATACAATGAAAACTGCAGAACCCTAAAGAAAGAAATAGAAGAAGATCTTAGAAGATGGAAAAATATACCCTGTTCATGGATAGGCAGAACTAACATCATCAAAATGGTGATATTACCAAAAGTTCTCTATAGGTTTAATGCATTGCCAATCAAAATCCCAACGGCATTTCTTGTAGAAATAGATAAAGCAATCATGAAATTCATCTGAAAAAATAAAAGACCCAGAATAGCAAAAGCAATTCTAAGCAGGAAGAATGAAACAGGCGGTATAGCGATACCAGACTTCAAACAATACTACAGAGCAATAGTAACAAAAACAGCATGGTACTGGTACCAAAACAGGTGGGTGGACCAATGGTACAAAATGGAGGACACAGAGACCAATCCACAAAATTACAACTACCTTATTATTTGACAAAGGTGCTAAAAGCATGCAATGGAGAAAGGATAGCATCTTCAACAAATGGTGC